AAAGCTGACTTAATTTCAGCCTTCGCCAGCTCCGCCCCAGTGCCTCGAGATCTTACCATTGGTATTGCGGCATCAAAAGATGTGTACCTAACTGTACACAGCTCTTGGGGAATCATGTCATTTACAGATTCACTAGCAGGGTGAGATAGATGGTGTATAAGCCAAAATTCCCCTGGTAACTTTTTCGGGACCATTCCTAAAGGAGAAATGTGCAAAGTTGGCACAGGAGGTTCTGCAAAAGGTCCAGCTACTCTTCCTTCAGCTACTTAATTCTGAATCTTCCTCCTAACTTCTTCTTCCATACCCTTGAAAGATTTTAAATTGGACGCTGAAGTGGCACACCTAACACCCTGAAATGGAATCCTAAAACCCTCCTTAAAACCAGTTAACAAATAAACTGCGACCTCTTTGTCTGGGTATTGCAGCAAAAACTCTGCCAGTACCAATAAATGAATTGGACTAACAGGCAACACACAAGGATCAATTGGAAAACAACCTGGGGAATTGACTCCACCCCAAGGCCAAACCCTTCCTACGTGATGTGTATGTTGTACAGGTGCGCACTCATCTTGAGTTATAGCTGCCTGAACCACCGAGGCAGCAGAAGGCAATGCCAGCACTTCCTGACTGGTACCCAGAACAACACCAACAGGGCTCCTCTGCATGTCGATCATAATGCCCATTCCTGCATCAGTAGTCCCACTGAGCGGTTGGTCCTGGAATTGGCCTGTTGCCATCATGCTGCCTTCCTGCATGCCTTCAACTTGTATTCTTGTGGTCACATTCGAGGAATTGCCCTCTTCAGAAACCACCTCCACTGGCCCTGTGCCTGCAGAACACTACTTTTCCAAAAGAGCAATTCAAGACATCATCACCTCACCTAATTGCTTGAGCTCAGCCATCTTACAGGCTTTAGACTTCCTTCTCAATCTCCTGGGTATGGCAGCTCTTGAAGTGTCCCTGGCAAGGGCCTTTTTTCTCTCCAACTCGCTCAGCTTAGCCAGAATGGCACTATAGTCAGGGCATTCCTCCTCGTCTGAAGAAGAAATGGCTGGTGCTGCTCTGGCTAGAGCAGGGTGTCCAACCTTTCACCTTCCCTGGGCCACATTAGAAGATGAAAATTTGGTTTGGGCCGCACATACATTTGGTTTGGATCACACAGGGGGCAGCCCTAGCCATCTCCACAGCCCTGCTCCAAGTACGCTTACCGGCAGCTGCGATCTTAGACAGCAGAGGCTGCCAGCTTCGCCTCTGGCGGCTTTATGGGGCCGGGAGAGGGTCTGCCTATTGACGGGGAAGGTGCAATGCAGTCACGCTTCCCCCCTGTCCCCTCCCCTCCCACTCCTTCCTTCCTTCACACAGGGGGCAGCCCTAGCCATCTCCACAGCCCTGCTCCAAGTACGCTTACCGGCAGCTGCGATCTTAGACAGCAGAGGCTGCCAGCTTCGCCTCTGGCGGCTTTATGGGGCCGGGAGAGGGTCTGCCTATTGACGGGGAAGGTGCAATGCAGTCACGCTTCCCCCCTGTCCCCTCCCCTCCCACTCCTTCCTTCCTTCCCTCTCTCCCCCTCTACTGTTGTGACATGCCCCGGCCACATTCCGGCCGCAAGCACCGGCAGTGTAACTTGAAACTTTGGAATTTCTTTTTTTAAAAAAATTGCACTGGGCCGCATTACGAGCTGACCTGGGCCGCATGCAGCCCTCAGGCCGCAGGCTGGACAAGCCTGCGCTAGAGCCTTGTGTTTAGCAGGATATTTACCCTTCTTCTCTCCTTGCCCTTTTTTGGATCCCATAATAGCTGTGTCTATATCCTTCTGTGCTCTTGAATTACCTTTATTTTTTATTTACTTATTTAATTCTAATATTATTTAACTTTATGTTACGTATTTGTCTGTTTCAATTTAAAGCCAAATTGCAATATAAAGAAAGTTCGGCCAAACTGCAGGCCAGCAGGAGGCGCAAAATCAGCCTGTCTGCCTTACTTACAGCCTTCCCCCGCCTTTTTTTTTTTTTTTTTTTGGTAGTACTTAAGGACGTGGTGGCGCTGTGGGCTAAACCGCAGAAGCCTGTGCTGTAGGGTCAGAAGACCAAGCAGTCATAAGATCGAATCCACGTGACGGAGTGAGTGCCCTTCGCTTGTCCCAGCTCCCGCCAACCTAGTGGTTCAAAAGCATGCAAATGCAAGTAGATTAATAGGGACCACCTCGGTGGGAAGGTAACAGCGTTCCATGTCTAAGTCGCACTGGCCATGTGACCACGGAAGATTGTCTTTGGACAAAACGCTGGCTCTATGCAGAGGGGAAGAACCAAAAACACACATACACCCTTAATCCCCAAAGCAAACTTAAAGAATTAAAATGCAATAAATAAGCTACGTTCACAAATAAAGTAAAAGAAATAATGGTGAAAGACTTAATCCTTTTGATCTTGAGAAGAGGTCTCCTCAGGGGGAAACAGCCACTTGCAAGAAAGTGAAACCGCGATCTCGCAAGGCTACGTACACAGCTCATTCCTTGCTGGCTCAACCGGCAAAAGAGGCTGAGCCAGGGAAATGGAGTCTTTTTGAAAGCTCCGTCCTCCCTCCCCTCTGAAAGCAACATCACCTGTGCAACGCCACTTTCCTAGCGGGAGCGCAAAGTATCCCTGCCATGGCAGGAGAGCGCTGTGACGGAGTGGACATTCTCACTTCTTGTAGCAAAAATGCTTTTCTAGGCATGATGGGAAAGATAGCTCCTTCTCCTTCATGCCTGGTTAAGCAAGGTTGGGAAGGTCTGATGTTCAGATAAACAGGGAAGGCCTGGCGGGCAACCTACGTGTACAAAGTGAGATTGACTTAGAGATTAAGTCATTACTCAGGTTTGGGGAAGCAGATCAGATCATTTTCTCAATTTTTTCAATGTGAACATTAATAAAATAGCCCATTTCTAATGAAAATGAATCAATATGTGAAGACATGAATACACTTTGAGCTTTCTGAATTTTTACCCATAGCACATACAATTTACACATAGCATTAACAATTCATTCCATCCTGCAAACTACAGAATACTTGAATTGCCATTTTCTTTTCTACAGTTGTCTACTAGTAAAGGCTGCATTGCTGGTAATTTAAGTTATCTTGAAGAAGATGGCACAAAAGTCATCTGTACCTTCAGCACTACAGTATGTATTAGCAACTTCTTAGGTTATTCATTTATGTAAGTTTATTTTATAATTTCAAAGGTAATATGTGATTGTAGTTGTACAACTTAAGAAATGAAGACCTTAGATATAGTTAATTTATCTGTTAGTTAAGATAACCTATCCAATATACCAGAATAATTAATAGTTAGATAATTATATGTATATTGTACGAATTTTGAGTATTAAAACAGTTACTTTGTGGTAACTGATTCAACAGTTTCAAAGTGAAATTTTAATTTTTTTTAACAACTCCTCTGCTTTGAACAGCAAATGATCTTCTCTGCACCTTCAGTGCCTTTTCCTTCCTTTGTAAATTGTGACTCGCTTGCTAATATCCAAAATCTACAGATCCTCTGTTGTATATTTATATTTGCCCTTCCTTCCTCACAAAGCAGAATGAGGTTAAGGATTTTAATATATATTTTAATGTGAAATCTGCATGCCATTGCAACAATGCAGTATAACAGCAATAATTATATGCCTTCAAGTAATCTACCATTCCCTTTTCTGGGGGCATCTGGGGACTGTGCAGCTTGCCCAAGGCTACACAGCCTGGCTCTTCTCCTGGGAGGTAGACTACTTCTGGCTCCATAGCCAGATACCTAACTCACTGAACTACCTAGCCAAGCTAACATAAATATTTCAAACAACAGTGAATTATAAAAATAAGTACAACATACTTGTGGCCTCAAAAGGGCTATAGTATTATATTCATAATTCATTTAAATCACTTTGAGGTGTACCACAATGGCTGTCTTCAGATGAAACATTAAGCTATGCTTTAGCAATATACAACAGCACCTTTGACCAATTGTCTCAAACATGTGGGAAGAAAAGAGTTTAGAAATTTCTATTCTTGGTAGCTGAAATCTATTATTTGCACAAACCACAGCCTGTCAGCAGATCAAAGGCAAATAAGTAATCATTCACCAGGTTCAAAGAAATAGAAAACCATGGTTTCCTAGATACCAGGACTGGATGCTTCTAAATTGCTGTCTTCTTGACACAAAGAAACAAGGTAAGGAAAGGCTACGTAGGCACAAGATGCATGGGTGCCACTTCACAGAATAACAGTCTTCGATTTAGTGATGGTTACATCTGAATATAGGTAGTCACTATTACAGTTTTCGGTAACTGAAAATTAACTTTAATCAACCTATTTAAAATAAGTCCCCTATCCAGGCAGCTATATATATATATGCGCACACAAGTACTGCATATGCAGTTATTTTGTGCATGCCTGCCCATTTATTCTGATGGAAGATAACCCATATGAACATGCACTCTGCTTTCTTTCCTGCAAAACTGGGGGCCTGAGAGACCTAAGCATACAACAGATTGTCCACAGCCCAAACAGCCTGTGAATGTGGATCAGTTTAGAGCAGCGGTTCCCAACCTTTTTGGGGCCGGGGAACAGTTGGTGGAAGCAAGCTTCAGAGAACAGTGTTTCCAGTCTGAGCACAAATGGATGGTATGGGGGACCCTCCTCCCCTTGTATTTTTCTTACTTTGTTAGGATTACGTATAAGGTTCCTTTATGATTAATATTTTGAAGGGAATCCTCATGTTTCAGTATGTATGTTCAGCTGTTTCATCCTGGACACCTGGAATGATATAATGGTTAAACAGCAAGGCCTCTCAGTTTTTATTATACAGATTTCTGTGCCAACTCTCCTTGCCCTTGCTTCCTTTTCTTCCTGCATATGTTTGCCATATTGAGGCAAATTCCAGTATGAGATATGAAACATTAACAATGCTTCCCATAATTCTAAGTATCAGCTGAAAAGCAATAAAATGAATGGAAAATAAAGCAGTTTAAAATGTCTGTAAACATCTGTCATCGGGATGTTTAACTTTAACTCAATTGACCATATGAACGTTCCAACCCAAAAAGAAGGCTATTGTATGCTGGTAGTGTCTCATGGCTCTTGGGCCTGTTGATTTAACTGGACCAATTTCCAAGCAAGTACAATTAAGATTAAGAGGTTAATGCATGAAGATTATAAAAACCATTAATGTTTATCAAGGAATATCAGGTTAAGTCTACAAATATATCAAGTATTATTGCAGAAAACTGTTTTAAAAGCCAAGGACTTGGGGATTGTTATTCCTGTTTTTCATTAGCCAGTTATTTTAAACCGATATATTTTCTCTATTGATGATAACACGTTACCTTTTGTTTTTAGGCAGCAGTACCATCTAATGTTGAAGGAATGAGAAGTATCCTTTGAAATAACTACTTGTTGCTTAGAACAGGGGTTCCCAACCCCTAGTCCACGACCCAGCCGGCTTGAGCCAGACTAGGCTGTGGAGACAGACCTCCCACCTCAGCCCCTACACACACTCACCCCTACACAGTTGATTTGTGTACGTGCGTGCGCTTCAGCGTGCTTGTGCAAGCACTGTACCACCATTTGTGCATGCGCATAAGCGAGCGAGCACCTGCACAAGCCACCATTTGCGTATGCGCATGAGTGAGTGCCCACACCAGTGCCACACCACCATTTGCGGATGCATGTGTGCGTGCTCATTCGTGCGAGAGCGCTCATTCACAAATGCGCATGAGCACAGGTGTGCCCCGTCTTCCCCAGCCAGCCCACGGGGTGAAAAAAGTTGGGAACTCCTGGCTTAGAATACTTTTTAAAGACAGAGACATAAATCCATTATTCAAAGCTTTTATTCCTGGTGTTTTGGATTTTCACTAGTATCTTTTCCTCAGCCTTAATATTATAGATTTGAAAACAGATGCAAAATTTATTCTAATTGTAGAAAAAGATGCAACCTTTCAGAGACTGCTGGATGATGATTTCTGCAGTCAAATGGCACCCTGCATAATGATTACAGTATGAAGCTAGTATTTTAAATGATCAGATCTAGACGTTCATAGATAAAAAAGATTTTCTGAAGGTGTTAAATTGAAGGCGCTAAAACCTTCAATTGAGGTTTTAGCACCAGAACTGTCTTGGTTGACCTGTGAGATGACACTGAGAGAATAATTTTATATTCCTGGACTTTTTGCAACTTTCTGGAACATCATCCATAGTATCCCTTTTCACAATCTTTCTATTCTTGCAGATCTCTCTAAATTGTTGTCTCCTTTCTGCCCTGTTTGTTTTTTACAGTGGCATTAACTTTTTGAAATTTCAAAAATCTTTAATGGTTTCTGCATGTTAATTACTTCAGGATTTGAACAGACTTTTGTACTGTTTCTTATCTTGTTGATTTAGATTTTAATCAGTTTTTGCTTTCATGTTTACTTACATTTCTATTAGTCACCCTGAGAACAAATCCTTATAGACTGATAGATAGAGAAACTGCTTGCATTTTGGAACACTTGTGACACATTCTGGTGCAAATTATTATCTGACGATAAGATGATGTACAGGAGACAGTGGGCTAGTCCAACCTTGTTCTGGGTCCAAGCCCAACCTTTCCGGTCTAGCTCCTTTCCTAGCTACCCTTTTTTGGATTGGGGTAGGAGTGATCCCTGTACGCATGGAAAGGTTACTTTAAATAAGATCACTCTCAGTGAAGCAACTCTTTCCAACATGATCAGATGCAGCTCTTTATCATTGTCTGATCATACCCTAATACAAACTAAATGAATGTGTAACTCTAGAAATTGGGGGTGATAGCTTCCAAATATATAGTATATTAAGAACGCAACTAATTGTATTCTCGAAGGCTTTCACAGCTGGAATCTGATGGTTGTTATGGGTTTTTCAGGCTCTTTGGCTGTGTTCTGAAGGTTGTTCTTCCTCTTCCATGATGGACAGAGTTCCTACTCCAGTCCTCTGAAGATGCCAGCCGCTGAGACTGGCAAAATGTCAGGAATAACAATCTTCAGAACACAGCCAAAGAGCCCGAAAAACCCACAACAACCAACACAACTAATTATTATAAAAACTCTAACCAGATATTATCTTTTTCAGGGTATGTTGCATAATGCTTTCTAAAAATATATTCAAAAACATAGCTAAGTAAAACCACCAATTAAACATTATTTTCATAGGGGAAGGGTGTACCAGATGTGAATACAAGGCTGCTAGTCAGAAAACTGTGGGATACTTGCTGTGTACCTATCTTTGCTCTCATGGATGCTGACCCACATGGTAAGTATGAGGAGCATCTATTGAACTAAACTACAAAATATCTTTAATGCAGCTCGTGCAGCATGAATAGGCTGTCTACTCCAGGACAGAAAAACTCTCCCCTTTATTCACTAAGAGCTACATTCCCCCTAGGGTAACCTGTTGGAGATAATATGCTGGCAATAAGCAGAACCAGAGTACTGTAATTCCACTCACTTTTCCTTAAGAACATTATGAGAATGGGTGGGTGGAAAATGAAAGCATGGAATGATAATGATCACTAACTTTTAATCTGTCCCACACACACTCACATAAGCTCCGTCTATCCATAGTCTTTCTAGGCAATCTTTCTAATAATTTATAGCATTCAAGGTGGCTTAAAACAACTTAAAGAAGTTTAAAAACAAACTGAACAGTAAAACCTGTAACATAAGATAAAACACCAAAAAAATCAGTACATTGCCTATAAAAACAAGCAGTTTAAAAGGCTAGTTTGAAGAGATGTATCATTAAACTGATTACAACTGTTAAGCAGGCCTTGCAGGTGTTCGTATTCTCAAGAGGTCCTCTCTTGAAGATTTTAAGGAGTTCATCATATTATGAACCCAAATAGATTCATAATATGATGAACCCATAATATGATGAACCCATATTTGAGTTCATCATACTATATAATGAACCCAAATAGGTTCATAATGAGGCAATTTAGATCTGTAAATGAAAATTGGCCATGCAACTATACTAATATTGAATAAAACAAGTGAAAATAAGGTAGACCAGGGATGTGAACTGGTACCTCAGAATCTGAACAGCCCCTCCTGTGTTTTTTGCCCTGGGTAGGCTCTACTTTTCCTTTCTACTACAGCAATCAATGCCTGCCTTCTCTATGGATACACCCATCCATCTACTTACATCCATTATTCAGGCTTACATAAGCTAATTGAAGAGAGGACAACCAATAACTACTGCAGCAGAAGAAATAAAAGCAGGTACCATAAGCCTTACCTAGTGTTTAGGCTGCTGGTACTACATGATCATCTAGTTTCAAAAGATAAATATCATACAGTCTAAGGACAGTGCTAGACACTTTTTTTGGAAGCAGGGAGTTCTTAACTTTGCATTTATCTTGTAATGCAGTACAGATGAGAATATACAGAGTCAAATTGATAGGGGATGTTCAATCTTTTCCAGCAAATGCCTCCAGTGGTCTCTCTCTCTTCATCTCCTGCTCTAGATTCTAGAAACAAGAAAAGTCAGGTGGAGGAAAAAACTAGCAGGCTTGGAAAAGGATTAATTATCCCTCTCTTTCATATCTTTACCTGGGATGCTCTTGTCCTCATAGTCTAATTATGTAATAAAACCCCAAACGAATCATGGAATATTCTGGTTTACTAACATCATGTCTAGTGCTGCTTTAATGAAAATTGTGGGTAGCCATTGTTTTCTATCTGCCATTGCACATGACAAAACTCAGATCTGTAGTATTTGTGATAAGGTTGTATATTGTGATTTAATTATAATAATTATGGGCTCTCAACTCAGTTTTGAGTTACAGTGACCCTTTACAGGGTTTTCTGGGTAGAAGAGTGCTCAGAAGTGGCTTACCAATTCCTTCTTCTAGGGAGTACCCTGGCACTGTGCAGCTTGCCCAAGGCTACACAGGCAGGGTTTTCTGCTTGGATGCATAGAGGGGAACTGAACTCCCAGCCATACCTACCTCAGTGAGTTATCCATCCAGACTACAGAAATAGATTTATCCATTCATTTAAAAACTTAACTAATTATAATTGGTATAACTTCATTTATGAATTTGACCAAACTCCGGGAGGCAGCATTATATTTTGCTAATTGGTATAACTTCATTCATGAATTTGACCAAACTCCTGGAGGCAGTAGAAGACAGGAGGGCCTGACATGCTCTGGTCCATGGGGTCACAGAGGGTTGGACATGACTTAACCACTAAACAACAGCAGTAACTTCATTATCTTTGATACTGTCTTCCTACTAGGTATTGAAATAATGTGTATCTACAAGTATGGTTCGATGGTAAGTTTTTCCTTAAATTTAAAATCAGTATTTCGTTGCCTAGCTAAATTTCATTCATTTATTTATTTATCCGATTGATATGCCACGCATCTAAGGCCATTATGGGAGGTTTACAACAAAACAGGCCACAATAACATATTAAATCAAATAAACATATCAGTCAATTAAACTAAAAGAAAGTAACGTGAAAACAATGCAAAATTAAAACACAAAAATTAAAACATTAAAAAAGGAAGATGGTGGAGCTGGTAGCTTAAGTTGTAAAAATTACTTGTTTATTTCAATGGAGCTGATACATAATACCTCCGTTTGGTTAAGAAGAGGCATAACATTTGGGCTTGTGATGATAATGTCAGGTCAGAGATCAGCAGTGATGAAAAATGTGAATGACATTCTAAAATAGAAGGAGAAAGAACTGAAAATATAACTAGTCAGAACAAAGAAATGCTTTGCTGGGTGTTAATAAAGACTGCAAACATTAGGGCATGAAAGAAACCTAGCCCTGCAATCAGATAACATATCTTCAGAAATACAAAGGTTGGGATAGAAGTCAAGTAACAATCTTTACCTCTTTGACAATAGACTAAATCTCAATGGTGGATAGAGCATGTCCCCCAGTTTCAAAAACATAATGGGTGAACAAGACTATAACAAGATAGGAAAGAAGTAAGTTGAAATTTTAAACTAATGAGAGGCTTCCATGGACCGAGAAAAAATAAAACCTAAAAATCTGATTGATGGAGGACTAAGATAATGCTTAGACAAAATAAAAAGAACAGAAAGAGCAAAAACAAGTAATAAAATTAGGCTACTATATTACAACAACTGTATCTTGAGACAGAATGGAAAACTTCTTTAACTTTGAAATCTATACTCTCAGTTTTAAACAAATAAACAAACAAAAATAATTCACACAACCTTCATGTCACATAGCCTGTTAGAAGATGGTAAACAAATAAATTTTATCCATCCAGTTCTTATTTTCATTATAATGTAAACTATTCCTCCAGCACATGTCTTCATTTACTCCTAATACTTGCATTTATTTTGCAACATTTATTGTATAATCACTTGGAAGAGTGATTATACAATAAATGTCCCTACATAGAAATAGTTATACTGAATCTGCCCACTATTTTCCACTACAAAACACAGACAATCCTTGACATCATGTGCTGGGATTGGTGGGGGGTGGATATCTGTTTATTTACCTTCCACTGAAGAAACAATATATATCAGATAAACTACCTATTTGGCAACAAATAAAAAATTCCCGACACTGCATTTTCTGCCTGTGTACATAACAATGGCAACTGAAACATCTGCACAGTAGCTGGTGGAAGGGAGAATACATATTTCTACCCTTGCGATTCACTTTTCATTCACAGACTCAGTCCCCAAGAGATAATTTCTCTCAGATAATAGATATATCTCAGGCCCTGATCTGTGGAAATGCAGCTGGTGAAAAGGCTGCAGAGGAAAAGTGATAACTAAAAGAATGCATAAATACTCCATACCCATTCTTCTCCTTTACAAAATACCTATCCACCACCACTGTACACACCAGTGGAGAAAACCAAATGGAATCCCTTGCTTTCTGCCATATTTGTAATTCTGTCTTTTGTATAAATTCAGTATTTTCACCACAGAAAGGATGTGTTTTTAATTTTTGTCTACAGCCTGGATTGTTTGGTTTTTCTCAGATTTATTTAAAAGGTATTAGTGCATACATACGCAAAATAGAAATATATATGTGTAGAAAAGTTTTAAAATCTCTAGGAATGTTTAGGAGGCCGAGGACTCAGCCAAAACCATGTATTATAGCAGAAAAAGAATGTGGCTCATTTAGTTTCCATTCTAGTACCACTGCTATCAATCCTGTATGCAAAATATTTTTTTTTTAAATTGACCTTCATGACATTGCTTGAAAACATTCTTTGGTATTAAGTTTCAGTCTAATAAAGGCAAATGTAAGTAATACTCAGCATAGTGGCTTCTATTCCAATGTTTCAGTCTATGTCATTTGAAGCCCACCACCTCACGGTTCCAGCTATAAGATGGCTTGGCCTCCTTCCATCCGATTTTAACAGGTTAGTTTTTTTAAAGTATGTTATTCCTTTATACATATAGACCCAAGACACCTGCTCCCTTCCCCACCTTTTTCCTTTGTCCTCCTATTGCAGTTGTCACCCTTCTATTATAACAATAACAATAAAGCTGTGGGATTAAAAACTTCCACTGGACTGGAAGTTCAAAAGGAGTTTCAGCAGTACCAACAGTTATTGATGTTGAAAGGGAAAATATTTTTTTTATTTAAGATATTTTTATCCCGCCGTTCTCCTTTAAAAGGAAGACAGTACTTAAAGCTAACAACTTTCAGTATACAAATACTAAAATGTATCAAATGCCATACTAAAAAGAGTAAACAAAAGCAACACTAAAACACATTAAAGGCAGTAACAACAATCCATTTTAAAATCCCACTCGGGCAACCAGTCACTGATGGAAGGCTTGCCTGAAGAGAAAAGAATACACCTGCTTGCAGAAGGATGGTAAAGATGGGATCAGTTTAGCCCAGTGGTGGTGAACCTTTTTCGGCTTGTGTGCCCAAACTGGGGGGGGACGGGACCAGCGGGTGGCATGCCATAGTGGCAGTGGCGGAGGAACCAGAAGTGGTGTCTGCAGAACCGGAAGTGGCAGCGGAAGGGGGAATCCTGGCATGGAGGTGCCTTGAGACCCCACTCCAGATCCGCTGCCAGCACCAGCTGCTCCTCATTCGCCTGCTGAAGTGCCAGCACTGCAGCTGCAGCTGCCTTCTCAGGCTGCACAGGAGGGGGAGTAGCAATATGGTGACTTATGGCTCGTGTGCCGGCAGAAAGGGCTCAGCATGCCAGCTGTGGCACGTGTGCCATATGTTCGCCATCGCTGGTCTAACCTCCTGTGGGAGGGAGTTCCAAAGTCTGGGATCATCAACAGAGAAGGCCCTCTCCTGTGTCCCCATCAGACACAACTGTGAAGGTGGTGGGACTCTCTTGATTATCTCAACACCGAAGCAGGCTCATAAAGGGAGATGCGTTCCCTGAGATATCTTGGGTCCAAGCCATTTAGGGTTTTATAGTTAGAACTAGCACTTTGAATTGTGCCCAGAAATGGATCGGCAGCTAGTGCTGTAACAGGAGGTTATGTGCTCCCTGTTACCAGCCCCAGTTACCAATTTGGCTGCTGTTTTGAACCCACTGAAGTTTCTTGAGACTTTTCAGAGGGAGCCCCACAGAGTGTGTTACATTAAACCATCCAGGTTGTAATGAAGGCATGTGTCACTGTGGCTAGATCAGAGCTCATTGCAGAAAGTATGAATTTCCTTACACATCCAGTGCAGGGTGTTAGAGAGAAAAGTAAGAAGCCAGCTACACAGGAGTTTATCCCAATATGTAGCCCCCTGCTGCAATAGTTGGGATCACTCTAAAAACATTGACTATGCAATGTTCTTGTTAGAATGTTCCAACCCATCCTTAATGGGGATCAATCTTTCCCACACTGGTCTAGGTTGGATACTAATGTTTATTTGGAATGATCGGGATCAGTCCAAACAAACACAATTTTCTTGTGAAGTGATCACTCCATTGTGGGGTTAGGGATGTGTTCTTCCTACACACCAGTGGTAATGTGTAGAAATGGGTATGGTCTGGCCATTACTGTGGATGGCACTCTTTATCTGACTTTGAAGTGAAAAAAGGGAATTTTTGTTTTAACTTAATGTTTATTTGTTTAAAAAAAGTTCCCACTATTCTGCTGTATCTCTTAGGTGTTAAAAAGTATAGGGTTAAAGATGATATCCTGGCTGTGCTGCTTTGCCTTTACACACATTTATCACCAGCCAGTTTTGCAAAGTTGATGTTGCTCAATATCTGCCAATGAAGACTATATAGCACAACAGTACAGTAGGCAGTACTGTAATGTTAATTGCTTTAGTCAGAAATATATTTCAGAAATTAAGAAAGCCGAAGGGTCACTAATGAAACAATGCAGTGCTATGCCATTTACCAAAAATTAATTTTAAAAAAGAGGAATGAAAGGGGAAACCTGGGACTGAAATATGGCACTCCATACCATCCTGTGTGCATAAAACATCAGCATTAATGCCCACCTGCAAGCAAACAGAAGCAGGCTGGCTGAAAACTTTTACAAAAAAGAAGTCAGGAGGTAGGGAGTAAGAAGGGGAGGGGGCACACTGGGACTAAAACAAAGCGATCTAATGCAAACATATGGTTGACTAGATCGCTACCACAAAGGCTGTAGGATCAATTTCCAGAGACAAAAGAAATATTACAATAGCCATTGGAAAGAGATGGAAGAGAAGAACAAAAGAGTAAAAAACAAGAGATCTCATCCAAAAGAGTGAAACAAATCAAAGGGAAATTTAAGGCTAGAGTAGGAAAACTAAATGACCAACAGGGAAGTACACTAACTGACCAGGAGAAAAAGAAGGTGGAAACAGTATAATAAAGACCTATACAGAAGAGATAAAAGGATGTCAGATTCCTTTGAAGAATAATCCTATAATAAAAAACCTGCAATTCTAGAAAGTCAAGTAAAAGCTCCTCTGAAAGAACTGGGAAGAAATAAATCACCAGGGCTAGATAGGATAACAATAGAACTATTTTGTAATACAGATACTGAATCTGTCAGAATTTTAAGAAAAATGTGTCAGCAAATATAGAAAGCAAAACAATGGTCGACAGACTGGAAACATTCAATATGCATTTGAATCCCCAAGAAGGGAGAAGGCAAGGAGTGCAGTAACTTTAGGAGCACTGGCGTAATTTGCCATGCAGTCAAAGGGATGCACAAGATGTTGTAACTAAAGCTTGTACATCATATGCAGCAATAAATGCTTTCATGTTCAAGCTGGATTCCAAAAACGGAAGAGGCACTTGAGTTCATATTGCAAATATCTGCTGGCTACTGGAGTACATCAAAGAATTTCAAAAGAAGGTAAGTGTATAATTCATAAAATACAGCAAAGCCTTTGATTGTGTGGATCATGAGAAACTATAGGTTGTTCTGAAAGACTGTCCTGATGCGTAACTCGTATTGTGGACAAGAAGGTACCATTATGACAGAATATGGAGAGACAGAATGATTTCCTATTGACAAAGGTGTCGGACAAGGGTGTATTTTATCTTCTTATTTGCTCAATTGGTATGCAGAACATATCACATGGAAAGCCATACTAGATTCGGACGAAGGGAGAGTCAAAATTGATGGAAGAAACACCAGTAACTTAAGATATGCAGATGACACCATCTTACTGGCAGAAGCAGCAATGATATGAAAGCGAAAGAAGAAAGTGCCAGACAGAACTGCTGCTGGACATTAAGAAGACAAATAACATGACTACAGATTATTCTAATGTGTTGCATTGAGTTAATAAAACTAAGTCTTTAAAACAACTGTGGGGAAAAAGCCAGACTAACTTTTCTGCCTTTTAGGTTGAATATACCTAAGAATGCATTGATTCCATTGACTAAGCAAGATGAAAGTAAACTGGCCAGCTTGCAGATGAGACCTTATATTGCCTACCAGCCAGGGTGGAAAACAGAAGTATGTATGAACCATATTATTGTTCATTTATTACATCGTGAATAGCTTGAAGAAATATATTTTTATTCTACTTGTGAACATAACAGAGAAGCAACTGACTAAGAGTTTGACTGGATAGGGAGGCTTGTCAATTAGTTTTAATTCAGTCAATTTGAAGTTTCCTATGGTGGTTAAATCATTATGGTCGTCACATAGGATGTTTTAATTATACCAACTAATTTTAGCCCACATCATACCTCAAATCAATACAGTTATTAGTAGTGGTGGTAGTTTTATTTATATGCCACATTTCTCCCAACAAGGGACCCAAAGCGGTTCTCCCTGCAACTGCCACCGTCCTCTGTCTTTGTCACCACTCTCTTCCCCACCTCTTCTTCTTTTTTATTTGACGCAAGTGAAATATAACTGAATTGATAAAATAACTTGTGAAATTTCAGTGCTTATCTGACATACCACTAAACTGAAAAAGCATAATTTTAAAAATTGTTTGAATAAGAGACAAGAGGTGTTCATGTCAGGGGGATGTTCCCAATGTACTGTCGTTAGCGATGGGTTAGAATGAATTAAAACAAACATGGAAGAGGAGCTTAATTTTGTTTCTGTCTTCTTCCATGGCTTTCTAGGAAAGTGCCACAAAAATACTAACCATCTGTTTCAATGAATGAGAGGGACATGGATTTTTCCATAATTACTTCATTCAGCACCTCTACTCACTCCATGAGTTGCCTCACATTGATGTTCCAATAGTTCACTTGCTCTGTTTCCCTCGCTCTCCTTGCCTAGCGACTGCCACTGCTGTGTGTCTCCAAAGAGTCAGCTAGCCACATGACGCTTTCCACCTTCCTGCTGCTATAATCATATACCTTCCCTTTTCCAGCCAGACTAGGGTTGCCAGAAACATGGGTACCAAAAAGAGGACATAGAAAGACAAAAAAAGAGGACACAGGAGGATGTATTGAACGTTTCATTTAACAAACAGGAAGGGGGCCTACCAGAAGCAGAGGCTTCTGATTGCGAACAAAGCAAATAAACCCGAACCCACCACGACCCAGCTGCGGGATCCCCCAGCCGCTCGCACTCTGCACAGGTTCAGAGGCAACCTTGCTAATCTGGATGCCCAAACAAGGCTCCGTGGCACCAGGCAAAGCCAAATGAGGCAGCCTCCCCTCCCCTGAGGGTTATAAGTTCAAGGCTGGGGAGTGTGGGAGTTGG